GGAGATGGTTGGGGTTGATACTCGGCGGCATCACAGATTGGACACGGGCTACATTAGGACTCTGTACCTCCGATATTGGTGACTATTGTCCACGACATTTTGATCTTGTTCGATGACATTTTGGACTAGCCTAAAGGCCGGCCTCTATGCTGCGAGGCCGAGCCGTGATCTGAATCGTCAAAAGTGACGATTCAGATCAGACCGGCGGGCGGCGCTCTTTTGACGATTCAGATCAGACCGGCGGGCGGCAGCCTCAAGAGCGCCGCCAGGCCCAACGGTAACGTCGTTTGGGCCTGCCCGTCTGGTCTGGTCCTCAGTGTCACCTAAAGGCCAACCGGTGGGCCTGCAAATGGCGCTACTGGTCTAAAGGTCCGGCCTTGGGCCTGGACCGGCCTCCGAACCCCTATCTGTCGGGCCTAACCGGGCGCGTGTGACATAGTATGTAACATCATGCATGCCCCCATGCACAGCACCACCAGAGGACCGTACGGTCGAGAGCGGTACCGGGACGCGACTGCACTCTCAAAACTGAGAGTGGGGAAGAGAGAGAGAGAGAGAGAGAGAGAGAGAGAGAGAGAGAGAGAGAGAGAGAGAGAGAAGGGGGGTTGGAACGTGGTCGCAAGTGCGCTGCCACATATGGCTGCGACACGTGGTGAGTCCTGTGCTCGGTGAGTAGATAGTATGAATATGTCAGTAAGTTAACATTAAATAAAATTGGCCAGTAGTAAATAAACATAAATTTATCAAAACACATAAATCTATCAAAACTCATTCAGCCTCCTGATGAGTCGGTGATCTCCGACGAAACAGTCTGTCACAGCCCATCGTTTGTTGTCCTCTTCTCCCTCTTTGCCTACCGTTCACCGTCCAGTTCTCGATGACGATATATATATTGTCACAAGAGTATCAGAGCGCAAATGCGAAAGAAAGAGAAAAAGAAAGAAAAACAAGAGAAAATGAATTCAGTTTTTTATGTTCTTCCTTATCACTCCCCCTGTTCAGAACCTCTTGCGTACAAGGCCGCCATATATATACATACTATGCCGTCCACGACTATCTATATATCTATATATCTATATATCTATATATCGACATATGTAGATATTGATAGACATATAGATATATAGCTCCGCTCGTCGGGATCGAGGACGTGAACGGCAACGCTGGTGGCCAGCGGTGGAGGGAGCCGAGGCGACCCTCAAGACAACGAAGGAGATCAGTTCGGTTGGGATGACGTTGCATGTTGGCCACGCTTCAACAACGGTTCGGGACCCTGGTCCCAAAGCAGTTCCCGCCCCTGTCCCCCCGCCTGTTCCTGCGCCTGTTCCCGAGCCTTTTCCCCAACCTGGTCCCGAACCGTTGTTGAAGCAGGGCCAACATGCAACGTCATCCCAACAATTTGCGCCTGTTCCTGCGCCTGTTCCCGCGCCTGTTCCTGCGCTCGATCCCGAGCTTATTCCCGAGCCTGGTCCCGAACCTGTCCCTGTGACAAAATTTTCCGAAGCTGTTTCAGGAGCAGGGAGACGTTGCATGTCGGCCTACTTCATCGACGGTTCGGGATCCTTCACAGTTCCCGCGCCTGCTCCTGCGCCTGCTCCTGCGCCTTTTCCCCAGCTCATTCGCGAGCCTGGTCCCGAGGCTGGTCCCGAACCTGTCCCTGTGACGACATTTGCCGAAGCTGTTTCAGAAGCAGGTCCGACGCCCCTCCCTTGGCCCACCCCGTATGGCGCTCCACCTCTGCCTGGTGTTGCTTTCTACTCTCACTAAGGCTCTTAACCTTCACACCACCGAAAATGCTGTCTCTATCTAGGATATCCTCCAGGTCCCGGTGCGTTCTCGCCGTCGGCAAGATGGTCTGAAAGTCCACGTCGTCTGTGCCAAACGGGTCCGCCAGAGCGCCGCTCAGCCCACGCAACCCCAAAATGACCAAACACAGCAGCGCGTACACGACAATCGAGAAGAAGGTGTCGTAAAAGGCGAACGAATAGGCTTGCAAGATCAACATCATCGCCGTCAGCATTGTGGCCAAGTGGTAGTATGCGAAGGGCACTGGGTGGTTGGCGTAGGTAGTGACAGTCATTATATACCGAGCTAGAAACTGGAAATCCTCCTGGAAAAAGCCGTATACCTCGCTACTTATGTGTCCCTGTCGGAGATGCTCGGCGAGGACTTCCGTGCTGAAGGCCATTGCCTCCGCGAAAATTTGTGGGCCAGTTTTCTTCTCTAGCGACTGCATCTCCTCGGCAGTGATGAGCCTGCATTGGCGCAAGTAGTTCCACCCCCACTTGTCGACACCATGCCGGACGTAACGCGGAAGCCGGAAGTACGTAGAGTAATGGGCCACCAACATAGATCTAAAAATAGCTCGCATCGACTGCTCAGCGGCAGGGAAGGTTTGTCGGCGGAAGAAGGCACGCAATCGAAGGGTCATAAACCTCATACGGCTCTCGATAAATCGGGCGACGAAGAACTGTTCCATGTATCGTTTGTAAGCCTGATTATTGTAGAAGACGAGGAGAAAAACGAGCAGAGAGGACAAGACTGTGAAGAGCTCGTTATGAATACGAGGCCAATGGCTGCGGGGGCGGCCATCACTCAAACGCACGACTTCACCGTTGCTAGCTACGAGCCTCCCCCTTAATCGAAAGGCGACGAGAAGGAGCGTATGCAACAAGATTAACAGGTAGAATTCAGGAGCACGGATGACCATCCTGAACACCGTGGAACGGTATCTTAGCATGTGCAGGAGAGCAGAGGATTGAGCATAAACCCGAACTTCTCTCGGTTGATGCACGCGAAGAAACTTGTCTTTTTCCACGTAGTCCACGTAATCAACCAGCCGCTCTTCGTCAGCGCCTTGGGCTTCCAAATCGTCAACCAATCTTGACGCCATCCCTGCTGCCTCTCCCATGACCTTCCACCTCTCTCGGACCCCTCTCGGCCTTCTTCCTCTCTCTCTCTCTCTCTCTCTCTCTCTCTCTCTCTCTCTCTCTCTCTCTCTCTCTCTCTCTCTC